CAGCATATGGATGACAAGAACCATCAGATCGCCAACCTGCAAAGGACCAATGATTTACTCCGACGTGAACTTTTTGAATTACAGCAGAAGATCTTGTCAAGTTCTCCCTCTTCCATCAAAAATGAGCACAGTGAATCTGTACAAGGGCTTGAATCCACCGTTGCGGGTCTTACAGCAGAATTAAATGCGTTAGAGCGCCGTTTGGCAGATGTATCTGCACGCAATCAAGAGGAACGTAAGCAGATTGTTGCTCAATATGAAGAGGAACGTAGCCGTTATAAGGCAGAGCGTCAAGAATGCGATGCTCTTGTCGAGCGGATGGCAAATGAGTTAGAGAAGCTTGCCATGGAAAACCGCTCCCTCCGCGCTGCCGCCACACTGCAACAACTATAAGCCACTAGTTTACCACGAACAAAAGGCAGAGGAAAGGTGAGAAAAATGTATCCATTGCAAGAAAAGGAGCAACCGGAAAAAGAAAGAGAGTCTGGAAGTAATAATGCGTGAAGAAGTTTGCACAATATTATTGTTTCCGCACTTGTGTTCTTTTCCACCGTCTCCTTTCTTTCTATCGTCTACTTATCCTTTCTCCTTTATCATTGTCGCTATTCCTCAGTTTTGTGTATGTGCCTTCCCGGGCTGCAGTCGTAGCGGCGAATGAATTTTTAACGACAATAAACGAAAAAAGAATTCAAGCCGATGCGCCTTCCACACCAGCAGCTCTCTGTCTCTTCTTGCGCCCAATATCGCACGTGCAGAAAAAGATTCAGAAATAAAATAAGGCAAGATCCAATCACGAGGAATGCAGGGAGGAAGGGTGAAGTTTTGAGAAGCGAACAAACAAGAACACACATGGAGACACGCTGGAAAAAAAAGAAAAAAGGAAATTTTTTTTCTGTGTGTGTAACTTTTTTTGTGATTTGTTTTTACTGCTCTCTACTGGTATTTCTTTTTGCCTTTTGTTGCTGTTTTTTATTATTGTTATTTTCTGTGGCGGGCTTGTTGTGTTAGCGCCACGGAACCCGCGACGGTCATAACGCACATCGTTATGGCAAGTGTCGGCCCGCGCCTAGCATGGCGTCAGAAGATACGAATTCATCTCAAGGCAATATGCCAGGCGGTTCCCATATCAATCCTCATCGTGGCGGAGGGGAGAGATTTGTACTATCGCGCAACGTGGCAGGTTACGGAGTTGCCACCGAGTGAATTACAAACCGGAGATGTGATTGTCATCTGCAACCGGTGGTACACACTACCTCGATTGGATCACATGCTGTACAGCCTGCTATCGAAGGTTCTGCTGAAGTCCACTTGGGACGATGTGGGTTTTATTTGGGTGCAGGATGGGGTGCCACATATTTGTTTTTGTGATTTTGAGGGAGCGAAGGTTTTAAGCATGGAAAGTTTTGTCGAATCGCGGATGCCGCGTGGCATGGCTGTTCGAAAATTGACTGTGGACGATCCGCATGCGGGACGCACGCTAATTTCATCGGTTGCTGCTTTTTTTGCAGTGGAGGCGCAGAAATTGACACCACACCCATGGTATCTTTTTTCCGCGAGTACGCGCCATGGGCAGGAGAATAAGTACTATGAGTTTATGGTGGAGATGTGGAGACAGAGACGCAAAATTTATGAGATGGGGAAAAGAAATGCGTCCTCTCTCGCCATCAAGGGGCAGACGGAGAAACTACGGGAAATGGAGGTAATGCAGAAACATTTGGCCACCTTTCAAAAGCAAGAGACATCCTTTCGTCTCTTTAATGGATCGTTGGTCGCCTCCTTTTTGGCAACGTTTGATCTCCTTGACAGAAATCTGCCATCACCGTCCCGGTATGTGCCGCAAGACTTTGCGCATGATTTGCCGTTTAAGCGGGTGGCAATGTTGGAGGAGCCGGTGGTGTTTTTTAGGAACTGATGCTGTTCGACCACTGCTGTTTGTTTCTCTGTATTTGCATTGTTACTTCGTTCCCTTTCACCTCATTCTGTTGTTCTCTGCGTGTCTATGTGTGTGTGTTGTGTGCTGTGTGTTGTGATGACGCTCGCGTCGATGGGGAGGAGGTTAGAAGAAGGGACTTGGCGATAATGAGAGAAAGAGATGGAAAGTGAGTGAGAGCGGTGTGGTATTTTTCATGTACTCACTATTGACTCCGTCTCCGCGCTTTTTCTCTGTTTTTTTTTTTTATCCTGTTGATTATGTCCAGCGGAAACCGAAAGAAAAAGGGAAGGGACAACGATGGTCTTGAAACCGGACGGGGGTTTCTCGCAACGAAAAGTGAAGCACGTGACGTTTGGATCTGTGACAATCCTGCAAGTCCCACGTCGTCAAGAGTTTACTCTGCCCACCCCGGTGGAGAGTCAGGCCTCAAGGGAGTTGCCCCTATTGGCTTCTCCAACACTGGAGGAGGTGAAAGAATCCCAAGGAATGGGAATAATGACACAGGATTCTGAATCTTCTTTGCTTCTTACTCAAGCTGCCTCAATTTACTCTTTGGATAGTCAGAATGATCTGTCCCCCGTTCCTTTTGGGAGGAGAGATGGGGAAGAGGATGATCAATATTCGCCTCCTGCCGCATGTACGCATGCCCTTATCTCTCCGACGCAGGCGATGTTATCCTTGGGTACTGGCACTCAATGTGCGTGCGACACTTTACCTGATCCTAGTTTAAACTGCTCTGCTCCTATTGACAAGGCATCGGAAATTCTTGGGGGTTCCCCATTATCTTTGAGTCCAGATTTTTCCTTCATTTCACTCAAAAGAAATAAACGAAATGAAGATGATGCGATGGCGGCTGCAGGCTTCACTCGATGCCGCTCAGAGAAGGATGCAGCACCTTCTGCCACCTGTGCATTTTGCCACGGCGCCAATGGTGTCCTTAATCACTATGAGGACCATTACGTCCACTTGGGATGTGCCCTGTGGTGTCCAGAAGTGTACTATGATACGCAAGAAGCAACATTAAAAAACATAGATGCCGTGTTGAAGAGGTGTCGAGACATTAAATGTGCCTATTGTAGACAACTCGGTGCACCCATTGGTTGTGTAAATAGTCAATGTCAAAGGAGCTATCATCTACGGTGTGCAGTGGGCGCTGGGGCTTTCCTGGACGAGAAAAAATTTGAGCTTTTCTGCCCAAAACATAGAAACAGGCGCGATCGAACGTAGTTCTTTTTCTCTGCGTGTATTTGGGGTTTATGAGGCCTTCCACTTTTGGTGAGGACTCCCCGGTACGAATGGACTGCATTTGTTCGTAGTGATGTTGGTGTAGTCATTCTTTTTGTTGGGAGTAAAAAAGTATGGATAAGAGCAATCCCTTTGTTCTCTCTCTCTCTCACTGTCTGTGTGTGTGTGTTGTTGTCATTTCCACATTTCTGTTTGTGGGGCGGATGCCCCTTTTCATCATAACAAAAGGAGGAAAAAAAAAAATTTAATGCTTTCTGCAGGCAACATTTTGATTTTATTGACTGTTTTTTTTTGTTGCCGTTTGTTTGTTTTCTTTTGTTGTTGTTTGTTTTTATAACCAAGAAGGAGGGCGGATGCTCGACGCATCTTTTATCAACAGTTCTTTGAAGAGCGCTTTGGGGAATGGTGTTGAAGCCGTTATTCTTTTGGATGGAAATGGCGTTCTGCTTTCTTCAGCATCGCTGAATCCGGAATACGTCTGTCAGAAGGAACACTCTATGATTGTTGCCGCAACGGGAAACGTGTGGCGTGCATGTGCTCGTAACGACTTGACGAAAAATAAACTTACAAATGAGATGGAACCGGAGGCATTGGAGCAGGTCCTGATTGATTTTGGCTGCAGGAAAATCTGCGCCATGTCTGTGGGGGGTTCGGCGATACTTTGTATGGTGGGCACGGAACTGGAGATGGGGTTTCTCAAATTAAGGACAGCGGCGTTGCAAAGGAGACTTGACGGGCATCTACGTCCAGTTCTTTTTCTACCTAGCTGAATCGTGAGCACGTGGTGCGTGTCTCTCTACTTCTTTTTTTTTTTTTTTCATCGTTTACGCGTGTGTCGGTGTGGAGAGAGAGAAAGAGGAGAAGAGAGAATCACTCACACACAGAGAGGAAATGAGAAGAAAAGAAGACGCCGTCTCTTATACGCATACACACTCTTGAAAATCCAGAAGGATATATACGTAGAGAGAGAGAGAGAGGGAAAGAAAGAAACGTCCTTGGATGACGGTTGGCTGCACGAGCGGCGTTTTTTTTTTTGTCTTTATGCACTTTTGTTTGAGGGACCTCGTTCCACTTTTTTTTTTGTTCCACATACACGAGCAGTTTGCATGCAGCATTTGGGACGGCGTATTTCCCTGCAGCGGGCAATGTTGTGCCCGTTTCTCGTGACGAGTCGACGCACCTTCTCAGTGGCGGGGGGAGATGGTGTCGTTGGTGGTGAGCCCCAAAACTACTTTGAGTATCTGGACCGTTTCTGGAACCGTCAGTGGTTTGGGGCAACGGAGAATTTATTGCCGCTACCAGATGCCTCGCCATTTGCGGATCTCTTTGTCACCTGTCAGGAGACGTTGGGGCTTGAGCCGGCGATTGCCATCCTTTTGTTTGGGGCTCTCAGTCGACTCTGTACGCTTTGCTTTTCGCTTTACGGGGAGCGTGCGTCGGAAAGAATGCGGAATGCGATGCGGCGGCTGAAGGCCCCGCATGAAGCGTTTCAGCGTGTGTATTATCGCGAGGGATCGGCAGCACTGGATATTCAGCTTGCCGCCACTACCCTCAAGGGAGAGCGCCGACGCGTCTTTTTGGAGGAAAAAACGTCGAATCTGCAGTGTTTTTCATCGTTACTAGGAACACCGGTGGTGTTTTTTGGCATCGTTCAAACGACGGCCATGTGTGGGGATCCACGACTTGATTTCGGGACTTCTTCCTTCTTATGGTGCCCAGCACTTACAATGCCGGATCCGTATGGGGTTCTTCCGTTAGTCTTCTGCGTCTTGACTCTGATGAACTTTGAGTTGTCTATTAGCAAAGAACTCAAAAAAGGATGGATGTCAAATCTTATTTGGGGAGGTCGACTCGCTTGTTTTTGTATCCTTCCCGCTGTGGCGCAAATTCGCGCGGGAGTGGCTCTGTATTTTCTTGGGATGAGTTTAGTCGGTTTGATCCAGCCTTTGCTCTTGCGCTCCAGCAAATTCCGCACGTGGTTCAACTTTCCACTTCAACAGCCAGAGCTGGATAATGCGAAGACGGCTGAAAAAGTTGATGACCTTCATGCACGGATGTGTGTGCAGTTTCCGTACCTAACTCATCTGTTTAGTCCGGAGTCTGAGGAGAATACCGGCCTTCTTAGGGACACAGGGGCAACGTCGCCAAACTCGTCTCACAGTCGTTGCACCGCTGGCGTCTCCACAAGGGGCATGAACCCCATCATGCGAGGAGAAACCGCGCGTCCGATGGGTAGGTGGTCTTCTATTTCCTCTTCTGCGGGAGCAGTAAAGCCGGCGACATTGCCATCGAGAAGGGGAGCCAACTTTGCAGCAGGTGGATGGAAGGCAACGCAGACAGAATTTTGCGAAGAGGACTTCATTCCTGAGGTTGCGGGTGTTGGCAGGAATAGTGGCAAGGAGAAGCAATGACCGTATTGGAAGAAGTAAAAAGAGGAGGAACACATTTCAAAAAGGAACATCCTCATAAATCAATGGGTTTGGTGAAAGAATCAAATCCCCTTTTTTGTTCTTTTTTCCCGCGGAATAATATGAGCGGGAAGGAGTGTGGAAGAAGAAGATGGTGTGCAGACACGCTTTTGCAGTCTCCATGCACATGTGTAAAAGGCACGCATTTCCCTTTTTTTTTTTTTTACGATTGAAATTTTTTCAGTGCATGCTAGACATTCAAATAGGAAAATATGCCATTTTTGTCGACAAGGTTGAGGCCGTTAGACGGAGAATTGATCTTTTAGCCCAATGGCCCGCGTCCCCTTTATTAGTTGAATACAAGGACGCACGGCTCTTGCCGCGTCATCTCATAATCAGGGCGGAGTCTCCAATTGAGGTTCCCTTGGAGCCGTTACAACATCCCATTAACGAGGAGGAGGCACGTTGGGTGGTGCGTGGCGTTTTGCGGGCCTTATATGCTCTTCATAGCCGTCGATTGGTGCATGGCCACTTACGTCTGGAGGTGCTTCGCATGCATCATCCCTCACGAAGAATTGTCCTAACGCAACATGTGCTTCCTATAGACTTGTTTACGCCTTCCAGCGATGTGGGACGAGAAGTTTGGCGCGGTTGTGCGCCGGAGATCAAGCGTAATTCTGTGTTTAGTTACAGTGCTGACATTTGGGCACTGGGTGCCATCTTTTTGCAGCTCTTGGCACCTGCAGGAAAAGTGTTGGAAACGGAAGATTTGCTAGCGGTTGACGTTCTCTCTCCCGATGTCAATTCGTTGAGTCCTTCTGCTGTCAGTTTTGTCGTGCAATGTCTCCAGGAGGAAGCGGGAGGTCGTCCTACCATTGCGGAGCTGCTCATGCATCCATTTCTTATTGATAAAGATGATGAATTTGACAGCTACGAGAGTGAAGAGGAGAGTACCGACGAGTAACTGCGAATGGTGGCATTTTTTTTTTTTGCCTTCAACTCCTTTTTGTTATTTTTTGTTTTATGATTGATCCCTTGTGTAATTTCATTTACTTACCAATATATATATATAAGAGGTAAAAAATATTGTTGTTTCTTTAAAGGGGGTTTATGTGTTGGCTCTTGGTGTGCGTGTGCGTCTTTTTTCTCTCACTTTTTTGTTTCTTTTTTAGCTTTCTCTTGCATTCCTCTTTTTATCGTTCATACTCGAAACGACGGCACACACACACACATGAAATGGCTGTTTAGTATAAATTCCTTTTTGCCTCTCAACACCTTTTTGTACTGTTCGCGTTTTGTTTGTTTTTATTAATGAACTTTTCGTCCCCAAAGACGCTACGAGAACTGGGCGACTCTGTTGGAGTGATAATCCCTCATGAAGGCATCCGCAGTAGGGATTTAGAAAAAAAAGGAATTTGGGAATTGCGGCCCGGACACTTTCTTCTCGCATTGGCATTCTTTCTGTTTTTGTGGGCGATTAAAGTGATGGTGCTCAAAGGCCCTGGCGTGTGATGCGTGCCGGTACCGTCGTCTTTGTGGCACGGCAAGAGTGAGTTGTGGATTTTCCTCCCGGGGAGGGTTTTTTTGTCTATGTTTTTTGCTTTTGAGTCGATGCTTTGCCTGCTTTACACCCACGATGACAGACTCAGAGAAAGGGTCTTTGCGCTTAAGACTACCGGACACTTACATGCACATGTCTTTGTGCCCATGGACTCTTCTCCCCTGCCCGCCATTTTATTTTGTTTTGGATTTTCTTTCTTTCTTCAAGTACACACAAAAAAGAGGGATCCAATCGGGCGTGGAAAGAAGAAAAGAAGGAACAACACGAGGGGACGAGGAAATAAAAAAAAAAAAAAGGAAGAAAACATATCATAATAATAATACTAATAATAATAAGGTCAAACTTCGAGCCGTAAGGAAGAAGTTAAGGATGGTTGATGGCGGTGGGATTGGTGGAAGCGATGAAAGTTTCATTTCGTTTGCATTTGCCATCGTCTCGGTGGTGATGATTATTCTCTACATTCCGTGGCTCATTCGTCATGTGCGATCCGCCGTTGAGTATTACGGCTCCTCGAAGAAGAAGCGATCCGGGATGATGAGTCCAATTGAGGGTATGTGGGACTCGCTTACGTACATCCCGCGGGTGTTGACCATGCTGGCTATGAACCCGGATATGCTGGCGACGGGCGCACGCGTCTGCTGGGACGAAAAGATTTTTTTTCTACGTTGTGTGATGCCAAAGTTTCTCAAGTTTACCTTTCGACCAAAAATACTAGTGCTTTGGCTTTGGGCGATTTTGTTCTCCTCAGCAATGTATGTGACGCTCACATTTGACGCGCATGCAATTCTCGGGGTTGCTCCTTCTGCCACGACGAGTGAGATCAAGAAGGCGTACCGCGCCCTCTCCAAGAGATATCACCCGGATCACAACAAGACGGATGAGGCACGAGTCATCTACGTTCAAGTGCGTCGCGCATACAAAGCCCTTGTGGACCGTGAAGCATTTGAAGAGGAGGAGTCTAAAAACACTCACGAGTTCTCCGTAGGAATTGCTCTTCCGCGCTTCCTTACGTCACGTGAACATGATGGATTGGTACTTTTTGGTCTTCTCGGCATTCTCATTGGTGTCCCCATTATTGTTTGGTACAAGTTTAGAGGAACACAAAAGATCCCCCACTTGTTGTGGCGCGTTTACTTTGACAAGGAGCGGGTGACGAGTTTTATGAAACATTTTGGAATTCCTGAGGATGCAAAGTACGTTGAACGACGTGACTCGCGACGGTGCACTCTTCAGGTGCTCATCTCGCTGGGCATTCTTCCACCAAACACCCGTGAAAGTGTTTTGGTCAATTTTCCGCCCTTTCCGGACTTTATCACACGTTGCGTGGAGGTGGACAAAAATATGGCTTATCTGCAGAACTTTTTGGATCCTACCGCTATTGAGATTCTTCATGAGTACATGGTTAGCAACGGTATTCGGCTACTTGATGAGTTTGAGGCCGCTCATGTAGAGGCGAATCCAAGTGAGTCTTTGGATTTTAAAGCGATTTCACTCGCCAAATACAAAACCATCCGCTACCTTTTCTTGCAGCACCTCGTGCAAGTTGATGAGGCTCTTGAGGAATTGCTGGAGGCCATGGGCGGAAACCTTCCCAGCGCAAGAAAACTACTGAACCTTCATGTAGAGTTGCTTGATCTCCTTCGTTTGGTTTTTGAGTGTGAAGGGAAGCCCTTGAAACAACATGTACAAAAACTCATTGCAATTCCGCAACGAGTTTCTGATATTGTGGATTCGCTCGAGCCCGAGATTGAGACAATTTACAAGCGCCTGTATAGAAACAGCTTGCAGCAACAGCTTGGGAACAAGTATGAGCGCCGACTTTTCAAAGCCAGCATGCGCAGAGTGTAGTCGGGAATGGTCCCACATTTGAGAGGTTTTTAACAAAGCGATGTTTTACAATGTTGAATTTCTTAAAAATACCACTGCTGTGTTTTTCTGTGTGGCTGTGTGCTATGGATCCTTTGTTTTTTTTTTTGATGTTTTTTCTTTTTCTTCTCAAGGTTTGTGCTACTGTAAACAGATACTCTGTTTACACCCGGAGAATGGAGGAAGAGAAGAAGGGAGGATGGCATCGAAAATGTAGAATTTTTTTTCTACTTTCTTTAACGGATGAGTTTACTCGTGCGTTTAGTGTGCGAATGTGGCGAATTCCACTTTTGTTTGTATTCCCCCCTGTCTCACAAATGGTGATGCATGACTTTCTCTACAAAGGGGGGAATGTGGGGTGTCCGTTGACTTGTGGATGCGTCCTGTTACGCACGCGTTTTCTTTTTTTTTCATCCATTTTTTATTTTCTTGTTGTAGTTGTGTCGGTGTGAGGAGCTGCGCCTGCGCACGTGTGTTGCAAATGGGTCGGTTGGAGCAGCGACGACTTCCGAAGGAGCCACGGAGGCCACGGCGCGCCAACAACAGGGGGAAACAGGCGAATACCCCGCAAAAACTGCGTAAGAAGTTAAAAAGGCAAGAAGATATAAGGCGTGTGCGTGAGCTCTCGAAGAGGCTGCGCGATGACCTCAAAAAAGAGGAGGAGCGGGTCCGGGAGTCGCGCAGGGCAAACATGGAGCGAAAAAAGGAGAATGAGAAAAAAAACATGGTGGTTCAGAAGATTAAAAACGATAAAGCCATTCGAAAATTGAGCCCGAAGCATCGCAAGAAGGCCAGAATATTTATGTTGCATGAACTTTGAGTTAATATCTCCATTCTTGGATATACACACGTTACCCTCATTACGCCTCCACGGTTAATTTATTTGTGTTTGTGTAGGGCATCCTTCTCTCTCTTTCCCCCCTTCTGCTTTCTGTGCATTACTGCATGGAGAAGCTGTTTGCTTGTATGCTTCAGGTGTGGCTGGTTGTATTTCTTTTTTTGTTTGCTTGTTTTTCCAAGGGAAGAGGGTGGGTTTAGGTGAGACGTCAAGAGATTAGTTTTATTCTCTTGTCTGCTCGAATAGCGGATTCATCTTCAGGAGGCCCCTTTGTCCCTAGGCGCACCCTGCCTCTCAACGAAAAAAAAAAAAAACGAATTGAAAGAAAAGAAAATTTAACTATTGAGTCAGGCGCGAGTAAGGAGATGCACATTGCGGCTCGCCCCTGCACTCCTCCGCGTGAAAGCATCTCACCCGATGGCAGTCCTTTTGTTTGTTACCACCGTCTCTCGGAATACATGACTGGACGGAGTTGTTCACCTCCGTCACAACCCGCACAATGGCGGGAGAGTTCTAGGTACACGGTTGATGTTTTCCCAGAGACGCGGCCAAGTCAGTTGCTGACACCAAGGGCTACTCGAGTAGACATTGCTCACCCGCCAGCAGCGTTCTGTACACCCCAGTTGATGCGTGAGGAATTGCAGCTCCGAGCCAGTCTAGACTCAGAGCTCGCCCTCGCTAGACGAGACTCGTCCTGGCGTTTGGAACCGGCAGTGACACCTCTCGTCGAAGGTCTCTACGTGGGCGGCTTTCCTGATGAAGAGACGTTGGAAACTTTGCGGCGTGAAAAGGTCGATACAATTATCAACTGCTGTGCGGGGGAGTATGACACCCTTGATAGCGTGCGTGAGGAATTTACTGTTCATCACCTGTATGCGGAGGATCAAGGCGATTATTTGATTTTGTTTCACTGTTATGATCAATTTGCAGCCATCGTTAACGAAGAAAAAAAATTGGGTCGTCGAGTGTTTGTTCATTGTGTGGCAGGCATCAATAGAAGTGTGACACTCTGCATTGCATACTTGATGCAATACTATCATATGGAACCCATCAGTTGCGTACGTCTTTTTCTATCACAGGGTAGAACAGATATCTTGCGAAATGTGTCCTTCCGTCATCAAATTGTGGATTTTTACCTCAACACGCTATCGACGTGAGTCCGCGCCGAGGTTGTTTTTTTCTTTCTTACTCATTTTGGCATTTGTCTTTCATCACCAGAATGTGCCTCCGTTGTACGGCACTTAGATTCTTTTGTTTTTGTCGTTGTTGTTGAGTTTTATTTGAGTGTTGTCTCGAGGTTTTTTCATTGAACAAATTGAGAGAGAGGGAGAGACAGAGAGAAAGAGGAAAAGAGCATGTGATATATATTGAAACGAAGGAAAAGGAAACAAGTAAAAAAGAAAAACAAAAGGAGTAGGAATAAAAAAAAAAAAAATGTTGATTTTTCCAACTTGCATGCATACATGTATATATGTATGTAAGTACACGCATTTTTTTTTTTCCTTTCCCGCTCAGTATGTAGTTTTTTTTTCTGTTTTTTTGTCTGACACGATTTAAATGGGAAAGAAGATATCATCCATGTCCCAGAGTAGCTGAGAAGATGGATATAGCTGCCGTCCGCCGTGCGGATGTATTGCAAATACCTGCTTAGTGATATAATTTTAATTTTATGCTCTATTTCTCTTTTCGTTTTTCCTTCTTCGGTTTTTCGATCGTGAAGGGAGGGGGGAAGGGGCCAACGGAAGTTGTGTTGGCAGGCGGCAGAGTCAAGAATTAGTGGTCGTGCGGGAAGACCTGAGAGGGGGAAGAAGGGGGCGCGTAAATAATAAGGGATTGGGGAGTGCCTTTGCGGCAGCAATTTGGGGGAGATGCCGTCAAGAGGGGCATTGGATCCCTTTGCCGTCCTCGTCGACGCCAAACGCGAAGTTTCACTCGCTGCCATCGCCGCGCGGGCGAAGCTTTCCATCTCCGACCTCCGCCAGCTCAACCCCGGGCTGAACTCGTACACTCACCTGGAGCCACTGCCTGTCGGGACACTGGTTCATCTGCCTCCGCTGCTGGATCAACAGGGAAATCCGTACGGCAACTATTTCACCATTGGACGCATGGAAGAGGCGTTACGTTCACTGAATGCAAGACTGGATGGGCTTGTTGCGGAGGAGATGAAATCGCTTCCGGTGCTTCGCCCGCGTAAAATTCTCTCCAAGACAGAAAGGATTGCTAGAATGTGCGGAAAAGAAAGTGTGCGTCAGCTGGCACATATTAAAGAAGAGTATACGGAGTGTGGAGAACGTCCGAGTCTTCTTCAGTTTCTTGTGGATGTGGAGCCCGTGAGGCAATTGCAGAGTGCCCTTGAAGAGGAGTTTGACGGACGGCAACTTCATCTGAAGGCACTAGAGAATGTCAACCATGGGATCTTCAGCAAGCCAAGGCGCCACCAACAAAATGCCATCACGGAGGGTTCACGCTGGAGTGTGCGAGATACCTCGGAGGATTTTTGCTTAGAGGAGCACTCCCATCGTTGGGAATTTACGTTTTTTTCCCCGGAGTCATCCCTAGAGGTGCAAGACTCCTGGGCAGTGCTTTCTTGCCAGACTCTTGGTGCCCTGCTCGATGCCTTTGAGTGTCGCAATTGTCTACCTGTAAACATGTCTAAGAACGCATTTATTTTTATTGGTGGGACTTTCTACGTTGATAATCGTCATGCGGGAATTGAGGGCGAAAACTACGATGACTTGACGGCTCCAATTCGTTATTTTCAACCCTTGAAAGATGTGGATCCTGGGAACACGCAAAACTTGGCATTTGGACGATGTCCTGTGAAGTACATGTCGGAGACTACCTTTGCGGACCTGGATGTACGACTCGGGGAATTTGGCGTCATTCGGCACATTGGATGGTGCACTCACTACTTCTACCTGAGTTCCGTGCAGAGTCTTCGAGGCATGAAACGGTATCACTATGAGAAGGGGACATATCCTCAGCGTGTCATGAAGGCGCCTACTCGCTTTGTGCGTTGCCGCATGTGTCGACAGTTTGCAGCCACCATCGCTTGCTACAATGATGAGCTTTCACCCAATAGCCCTTGTCCCTACTGTGTTCCTTGCTTTGAATTGTTACACGCAACAGATGAAGGTGTTGTTGAGGAGGAGAAATTTATTGCCATCAAGCTCCCAGATGGGAAGTATTTTACAATGTGATGAAACAAGAGAACGTGAACATGAAAGAAGGGAGAAATAATTAGTGATGGAGCTCTGTTATTAAATTTATCTCTTCCTCTCTCTGTCTCTTTCGTGTATGTGTGTGTGTGTGTGTGTTTGGGGAACGGAGTGAGTGAAGGCAGTTTACACAAGTTGCGTTGAGAAAGGGTGGGAAAGGCAGTACGTTGATGCGTCACGGCTATTGAACTCAAATACACACACATCACTTCTTTGTCATGCATTGACTCAACTTTCTTTTTTATATCTGCCCACCCCACTTCCATGGAAAAAAGGAAACAGAAGGAGAACCCTATTGCCTTTTTTCCTTTTTTTTTTTCTTTTTAGAGGATTTTTTTTTCTTAAAATTAGATACGAGGTTGTTATGTCCACTTCCGTGTTACAGCTTCCCTGCCAAGTGTATTGCTCGAGGTTCAGCCCTAATCGTGCCCAACAGTTAGTGGGATTCGGGGGGAAGGACGGGGCGGTCTACGTGTATCCTTTCGAGGACTATTCCCGTGCCGCACGCCTGGAAGGCGACGCTTCGCCCTTGACGGCCCTTGCATTTGATCCGCAGCAGCACCGTGTGGTGGGTGGAAGTGATAGTGGTGGCGTTCGTCTTTGGGATGTCACCACAGAACAGTCTGTTCGCTCGTTTGACGCAGGTCACAAGTCAACTGTTACGGGTGCGGATTATCACCGTTACACGGACTTCATTGCCACCTGTTCGCGAGACAAGAGTCTTCGTATTTGGGATACAAGGAAAAAAACATGTTTGCAGTCTTATAAAGGGGCATCAGCACCTCTATGTGCCACCCAATTTTCCCCAAATGGCCGCTGGGCTGCTAGTGGTTGTGCCAAAGGTGTGATACGGTTGTACGACTTGGTCTCTGGAAAGCAGTTAAATGAGTTTAGGGCCCATGAAGGGGCTATCACATCTATACATTTTCATCCTGAGCAGTATTATATGGCGGTAGGTAGTAGTGACGGTTCCGTCTCGTTGTGGGAATTAGAGAAGTTTACGAAGGTCTTTCAGAGCAATCCGCTTGACACACCCGTTGACGCCGTGCATCTATATGGAAAGAAATTGCTTTTGGCAGCCTATCATGTTTTGCGTGTTTATGATTTTACAATGATGAGTGACAATACAGCTATTGCCATTGAGTCACCATGGAATATTATTGGCGACTTAACTTATTCCTCTCTATCGGATGAGGCTTGGTTTGTTGAATTCAGCAGTGGGGCGGCGACAATGGGTCGACTTTCTCTTGGGTGTGGCAAAGATGTCATTTCCCATCCTGTAACCTCTATGGGTACACCGTCATTGAAGTTCTCTTCTGTATGGAAGGTGGAGAAAACACCGGGATCTGCAGGGAATACAATACTGAAGCCCCAGCAGCAGCAGAACCAACAGGTGTGTGCTGACACCGCGCCCACAAGGTCCCCCGAGTTCTTGGCCAACTCGCCAGTAGAAGATTTACTTGGGTCAAGTGCGTCTATGCTCTCTGTGCTTCGACGACGGCTAACACACATCCGAGTCATTCGCTCACTCTGGGCGCGTGACTCTCCACAGGCCTTGGAGTATCTAAGGCGACTCTGTGTAGATAAATCGGACTGCGGGGTGTTGACCGACTTTCTGATGGCGATGCAACATATGCGCATGAAGGAACGCATTAACATTAGTACCCTCCCCGATTTACTCGATTTGCTTGCGTGCGCCCTAAACAGTGGGCACGAGTCGTCGTTGCTGGCAGCAGTAAAGGTGTTTAGAAGCATGACCAATAAGTTTCGTGTCAAGATGGACGAGGCACGTCGATTTGCTACATCCTTGCGCACCGTAGATGCTGGAGTACCGGAACCAATGATGCAGCGATACGACGAGTTAAGCGCTAAGTTCAAGAGTGTTGCAATTCTCGTATACAACCTTCACGAAAGGAAAGGTCCTGTCGGCGAGGAAGTTCGTGAGGCTTTACATGAACTCCCGAATTTCTTACAAGTGGAGTAGATACACACGCGCAACCAAAAAAGAAAAAAAAAGATGAATTACCCATGGCATCTTCACCTACGAAAAAGCTCTGCTTTTTCGACTGCTTCGTGGGGTTAGCTGTGGCTTCATGAAGTCAATGTCTCAACTTCTCCTGTTATGATGTGTGTCGTGTATTATTACTCATATTGTTATTATTGCCCTTGTTATTACTTTCTATGCACTTCAATGGCTTCGTTCTTTTATTTTCCTAATTGCGGAATCTCCTTTTTTTTTTTTTATATATATATTTTTGTGTGTGTGTGTGCTTATATATCTGTGCGTGTGTGGTTTTTGCTACCAAATTAAAGTTTCATTGCTTTTTTCCCCCTTTTTCACTTTTGATGTATTTATTTTGTATGTTGGGTATGCGTTGAAGAAAATTTTGGGAAATGAGTGAGGCACTTACGCCACCAGATTCCTGGAGTCACGGTCACCCCGACGTGAATGCGGAGTTGAAGATGCTTCGGGGTGCTGTGGCGCAGGCTCTTGTGGAGGCGCGGCAATCTAGTGATTTTTGCCGGGGGATTAAACATGACATCAGTGAATATTTCCAATCGGAGCAATGGAGGCGTGTGCAGTCTGGGGATTCTATCGAGAGTGAACAATTCATCCCTAACGTCATGGCATCCGTCGACGGCCATCTAGCAGAGTTTGAGAGCTTTATCATTGGAAGGGTTCGTGAGGAGCTTGAGAATAAGGTGGACAAGGATTTGTCAGAAAAATTCGATTCTTACAGAATGCAACTTGAGCATATTCGTCAACAAGAAGAGGAACGGGAGGCACGACTGAGGTTCATTCTGGAAGATGCCGTTCAGATGAATTGCGAGTTGCGCAATGAAATGAAATGGTGTGCCTCCGAACTGTGGGACCGTGTAAGTGCCATAGAGGAAAAACTGAAATTTATGGCAACACGTCCCCATACGAACCCCGGCGGAAAGGACGTGATGGACCTTGACCTCCCGAATGCGCTGCGTGAGGTGATTGGGATCTTGACTCTTCTCTCCGAAGGTTTGGAGGTGGAGCGGGAGTTGCACAACGAGGAACGGCAACGGTGGATGTCTTTGATGTCACGAGCCGTTGAAAAAATCCGGCTGTTGGGAGAGCGCGATGAGGCACTTGAAGCAAATTTGCAGGAATTACGACAGGTGGCGGCGGCAATTCAGCACCGATTTGGAGAATTTTCGGGGGTTTTGGTTGATTTTTGGCACAGGCTAGAAATGATGGGTTCCCCTTCCGTGGCTGTTGAAGGCGCCGCATGTGAGGGAAGTCTGGGTATGTATTCAAAGGCAGGGATATGTGCAAAAAAACAGATGGATGACTTCATGAAGAAACTCCATGAAGTTGGTGTGGCCCTGCGTGCACTACAAGTGGAGCACGTTGGCTTTAAAGACATTTTGGATAGCAACACAGTGAATATAACGGAAATTCGACGAAATGTGGAGGCGCTAGCAGTTGGTGCGAGCTTAATTGCTGAAGAACGTGAACGCATAGACAGAGAGGAAAGTTCGCTTGACCTCCAATATTTGATTCGTAGCACCCCTAGAGATGGCAATGGATGTGAAGGGAGCACCGGCACCCCTCGTAGAGGTGATTTATCTCTACGAAAACAATGGCAGTTCGCACATTTGCCGAAATTGAAGCTGCTGCATAGGAAAATCTGTAACATTCCCGTTTCCCACGCGTTTCGCTTGTGGGCTGCTTGGGCGAGTGGTCGCCGTCAACTGCGTCGGGACAAAACCATGGTTCACGAACTTCAGGAGGACCTGGACACGAATTCATTGGGCTCTCGAAAATATAAAAGGGGGAAGGAGGAGGGGGAAGAAAAGGAACTGGCGGTAGGCTGTAGGCGGCTGGGCATCGAGGTGGGATGCGCAAAGGCACGGATTCAATAAATAATATGTGTTTCCAGGATCACCGCCTGACTCACGCACAGTTCTACGCAAAGTTTTCCTTTTGGTTGTATTTCTTTCTCTCTCCATCCTCATCCCAAAAGGTGGTGACCCTGCAAAAAAAAAAAAAAAAAAACATGTTTGGACTTTTTATTTTTAAGGAAAAAGAGGGAGGCCTGCTTTTTTTTCTGTCTGCGCGTCCTTGTTTGTTAGCAGTGCTTCTGCTGCCGTTATTGCTTTTTTTTTTGCATGAGTTCTTTCTTTTTAGATTGATTTTTTTACGTGAAATCACCCATGCTAGTGCCATTATTGGGCGTCTATCAGTCTCCGCGATTGCGGTCACGTCTAAACGCACGTGTGGATGCCGCGGACGGTGCGTGTTGTGACTTTGGGTGTTGCTTATGCCTGCGCCGTTAATACCAATTGCTCTCCTTATTTCTTTTTTTTTTTTTTTTTCCTTTTTTGGTTATTGTCATTTGATCAGTTTTGGTGTCCCCCTTCATCGGAAGCGCTGCAGGGTGCATTGGAAACAGGAATAGAACAGAAGAGGGGTGGGATAGGAAAAAAATACATAAAACAAGCACGCACATATAAAGAAATAGAGAAACAACACGGTGAGGCCAAAGTGATGGCTTTTTCTCGCGCGGAACGGAAACAACTGCTGCGAGACAGGGAACTGCTCCCGCCACTGGCCGAGAGTCCCTTTGGTCCCTTTCCGCCCGGTCATGGCTCAAGAAGCGAGGCCAAGGTCTTCAAGGGCTCGGTTGTTGTGCCCACCGCCTCCAAAAAGGCGTCGGCGACAGGCGAAAAGCGCGCAGGCGGTGTGGGAGTCAGGGGGGATGAGGCAACGGAGGTGGAGAATGTGCCGACAAAAGTTATTCGCGTGGGCCGCACGGGAACGGGCGGTATGACATTCAGCACCTTCAATGGGACCGGCAAGGCTTCCAGCTCTCAGAGCGACGGGCGCTTTGGCGATCCAAAAGGCCCAGGGAAGGCGGGGGCATTTAAGAAGCAGAAGATCCCACCCACAGATTTTCGTACTCACTATGAACGTGGGGATCTCCCATTGTCCATTCAACAAGCCGCAACTCGTTCACTTTTGTGGCGAGTGAATGTGGCTACGTTGGATTACCATTTCTTTTTGCCCATCTTCTTTGATGGACTTCGAGAACTTGAGGAGCCGTTTCGCTTTGTAGCCCTACAAGGGTGCTACGATCTCCTTGAAAAGGGAGGGCAGAAAATTCTCCCGACCATCCCTCAGCTTATTGTGCCTATTAAAACGGCACTCAACACACGCCATCCAACAGTCATTGTCAACGTTTTGAAAGTCCTTCAGAAGCTCGTTTTGAGCGCGGACAACGTTGGAGCAGCTCTTGTCCCGTATTACAGGCAGATTCTCCCCATTTTCAACCTTTTCAAGGACCGAAATAAGAATTTAGGTGACCACATCGAGTTTTCACAGAACAAGAAGCAAAACATCAGCGATCTTATAAATGAGACGCTTAATTTGCTGGAGTGTTACGGTGGTGAGGACGCCTATATCAATATCAAATACATGATTCCGACGTACGAGTCTGGAGTCGTGTAACCCACAACTTTTGAGGCATGTATTTTTTTTCTTTTTTTTTACTTGATTTACTTTTGAATGTATATGACATTGTTGTGCGACACCGCACGGTCCACACTATGACGCCGAAGCACATACAAACGCAAACGCCGACATATATATATATATATGCGTGGTGGAAAGGAAAGAAGAATGATCAACGAGAAGGAAAAAAATGAAAAATGGTGGTTCATATATCTAGCCCTTTGCTTTCTGTGTGTGTCTGTGTGTGAGTTTGGGTGCTTCCGTGGCCTCTGGCTTTGCGCGTTAGCGTGCTATTTCGGAGCACGCCCTTGCCAAGCCTTTTCCCACCCTCAGCACCTCGATCCTTTCGGCAAGCTTCTGGAAACAATTAGCTGCCAGCTGAAGGCATTTTAATGGTTCCCTTGTCCTCGCCTTTGTTTTTCTCTTTCTCGGCTCCTTTTTTTTTTTTTTTTTGAAATTGCTTTGGGAAAACGGCAAATTCACATCGGTTATGCCACACTATTCCTTCAAGGAGGTCCGCTGTTGGGGAAATCCGGGCGATTGACGGACACGGCGCCGCAAAACGACTTTGCAGGAACCCGCCCGCCACAGCAGCCCTTCCCTCCTCCCGCCGGCGGGCGCAGCACAACACACTCATATTCTGGCCGCGGGCTCCAACATGACGAAGACCAATGAAAGAAACCGCAGAATAATCTTCTGGGCCGCTGGCAGAATCCTGAAGTTACCACTAATAGAAAGCAAAAGTGATAGAAATGAAAAAAGGGATGCATGGAATAAGAATGGATTCACCATATCCTCAATGCTTGAAAGCAAGTAGGTACATATATTCCTATATCATCCGTTAGCCACAATTGTGACCCGCTCACCCTATTCGGATGGTATACATATATATTTATTTATTACTTACGATGTGGCAGACTTTGGGCTCCTGCAGCCACACGACCCCGCCGCTGGGTGGGGATCAAAAAGTGGGCGGGCGGGACGGCAAAAGTAAAAAAAAATAAAAAACCGTCCGGACACCACTGCCGCCCTGCTTCCCAGAACCGGGCCAATCAAAGATCCATAAAATAGGGACAAACATTCTAATCGCTTTTGTCTTTGGCCTTTCTGGCGGGATTGGGCAAGGCAAAAGGAATGAAAAGAAGGGCTGCGGCAACGGTTCCGGGATCAGGAACTGCACCGTGGTGCTTTGCGCCTTGCGCGAAGATTCCTGGCGGCAAAGCCGCATGGTACCCCGGAACGTGCCCGGCACGCCCTAAACATGTTGCTTTCGTTTTCCATGGGACAACGCAAATGTGCTCGATTGTTCGGGGATCAAAAGTAACACTTCGTAGGCTATAAACACATATGTATCCAATCCGAATAAAGCGTTCAACGTGTCACGAGAGTGGGTCCACCAGAATATATAAATATGCGGAGCAAACAACGAGGATTTGGCCAACCCGCTGCTTCTCCATTTACGCATTCTTCTTTTTCGTCGTATTTTATTTGTATTGAATCGTTTGGTGTCCGGCCAGCAGCCCAGGCGAATATTCCTTCCTTTCTTTTTCCTCTTTGCGTTTATGCCACAGGCACGGTTTGATTCAAGTGCCAGTGGCGCCTCCACGCAATCACATCTTTCTGCCGTCGCATTTGCGGGCAAATGGGTTTGGGCATCCAGAACACACACACACACACACACACGGCCGCAACGAGAGGGACGGGGCACGTCCAAGTACACGGCGCAGTCTTTCACTTCTCTCCGCCTCGCAGCAGGCGGTGGCGGGTGGCGTCCCACACTCACAAATGGGGCACGGCGCACACCATCCGCTCCCTCCGAGTGCGCTCAGCAGACCGGCGCCCAGTCACCCTCGTGCCATCGCGGAGGGGAGCGCAAACAACCGTCGTCGCGGACCATCGGTGGCTCTGGCAGGGAAAAAGAAGAAATGGGGGCGTGTCAGCAGCACAGCCGGCAGAGAGACAATAAAAGGGCACGGAGACACACAGTGACATGGGACACGGCACGGACGGGGACGAAACTCTAGTGATTTGCCAAAAAAAAAAAAAAAAAACACACACACACACAAAAAAAAAAAGACGGGGAGTCCGGTATAACTCCCAAAAATAATAATAATAAAAGTAAAGAAAAGAAAAAGAAACAAAACAATTGATTCGGCGGAGATTCCATTTCATGTTCTCTGCAGCACAATACGACCGTGTTTTTGAGTTCATACATACTGCCCACAGAAGAACAAGAAAAGGAAATCACAGTATTTCACGAGCCCACACAAAATCCCTCACATTCCATGCGGCATCCGGCCTGCTCCTCCACTCCTCCTCTTGTGCAGTCCGTGGGACACACAGCAATGAGGCCGGCACCGCGTGTGGGCAAAAAAAGCAAACAAGAGGGGAAACACGTCACGCATGACGGTGTGCAGCAAGCAACCATTGGGGGTAAAACACACAGGGGTGCTGATTATTTCAACAGAGCACCAGCAATAAAAAAGTAAAAAAAAAAAAATTGAAAAGAAAAGAAAAGAAAAAAAAAGTATCATTGACAAAGTTGAGTGCGTAGTGCTGGGAAGCTGCACATTTGTTGTTCCACGAAAAGCCGCAATTCCACCCTCCCTCACACTTCAGCAGAGAGCCGCAGTGCCCCACAGCCCCAGAAGCAGCAGCAACACCCGAGACGCACACCCATGCACGGTGCTGTCACCAATTAGAGCCATGGCCGACAAGTCCCTGAACTGCCCGTGCTCAGGCAAAAGTTCATGGCCCGAGGGTATTGTTGCGTTGAACTCCGATGGGATCTTGGCTTCCCCATGCGCTGTGCTCAAATGAGTCGGTGCGGCACTAGCGCCACCCGACACGTTATCATTGCGGTGGACAGTTGCTGGGTCTGTGCTGCTGTTCGTGCCTTCGGCAGTGAGGACATCCGTGTCCTCTTCACGGTCAATGCTGTGCTGCATCGAATCGTTGGTGCTTACATTCTGCGAAGAGACTTCAT